AACCTCACTTCCTCTGCCCCTTCCACTTTATTCAGAAATTCTATCTATTTTTCTCCTTCTTACACATATGCAACCACATCCCACAGATATCTACTCCACCCTCCACAGAAATTCCCCAGAAAGGAGTTTAGAAAAACATTTAGTTTAAAGCAATAAAATTATGGCTGAATAGATAACATCAAAAGTAAGGAAATGCAGATCACAGATCAACCTCCTCTGCTCACTCAGAGCATGGAGCCATTGGAAATGACACACTTCACAAAAACCAGGTGGAATTCATATCCACTCTTGGTGCTGCACATAGCAGAAGCCCCACTGCAATTTCAAAATGGTGCCTGATCTGAACTATTTAAAACTTCAGTAGTGTTTGTGAACAATGAGATGTTTACCCAGAGAGAACTGAACCCTTTATTGATTCGCCCCTCCTGTAGCTTAACTTCCACTCCAACTAAACACAAAAAATAAGCTCTACTTTTTCATTCTTGTAAAACAAAACAAAAACCAACAACAGCCTTCTGTTTACATAGGACTAAGCACATTAAAGATTATGATATTTCATTCCCTTATATGTAGATCAATTGGAGTGGACCAGTGAAGCCTGTGTAACTGTGGGTTGAATTGCAAATCTTTGTTGGTGCAAATATTCCAAAAATCTGTGTTTTTTGTCTTAACTTTCACACCACTAGTGGTATGCTTTATGGGCAGTGAAGAGGCTAGTGGGGTGATTTACTTGCTCGACCTACCCAAGCAGGGAGGTTAGAAAACCACAATTTTCAGCCCACAATTGAAACACTAAATTGTGTACTTGGTTAAAATACCATAGTTAGAGACATCAGAGCTTACAAAAGGTGGCAGAGTTGGGAGGTAGCACTGCAGCATCAGTGAGTAATAGCCATAATAAAAAAGGTGGCCATAAAAAGAGAGGGAGGAGAGAAGAGGGAGAAAGAGAGAGAGAGAGAGAGAAGTGTTTCCACCATAACACTGTGGGGGAGAGAGAAAAATTGGAAATCTCTCATAATTATACAATGGCTAGAAACTGCCTTATAAAGCAATCACACAGATCCTTGGGGAGAAGCAACTAGCAGGTATGCACTCAAGCCATGGTCAGGAAACAGCGAAAGAGAAAAATGAGGAGACAGAATGCATTCAATCAAAGCTAATGCCATTATAGTGGATGCCAATAGAGTGGATTTATAGTAAATGTGAATTTTGTATGGAAAAAAAGACTGCTGTTCTACAATACAAGTTCCCAGCTAATGAGTTTCCATGAAATGATGGATTAAAACTCCCAGGATTCCTTGCTATTGCGGCTTCTTTTAGTTGAAGTCCAACAATTTCTGTTGGCTCAAGATAGAACTCCAGATTTTAGGATCTGAGACATTTCAATCACGTTTGTTTTCCAGAGGTGAAAAGGAAAATGAATCCAGAGACAAAGTCTATCGCAAAAGAAAGATTGCTTGAAGATTTTTGCTTTTTATGGACTTTGTGTCTGGATCCATTCTCCTTTTTTTGTAAATTAGTCCTAATGTTGCTTCCGGAAAACAAGTCTGGTTGTTATTATGCTTCGGACCCTAAGATCTACAGCATAGTTCCCAACAATGGGTCCTCAGATATTGTTGGAATTTGACTCTGAGAAACAACAGATGGCAACCAGCGTGATCACAAACATATGTTGTACATTTGTGAATGCTACCCTTCTCATTAATTTGCTACTGTATCTTTAAAAATGATTCAAATTGCTGTTCTAACGCTGCAGGACCATAGACAGCAACCAGATGAGAATTCTGCCCCACCCTTTGGCCATTTCCAATTAGTTTCAGTAGGTGTTAGTTGAATACAGATTCAACTGAACTCAAGAGGATACATGAGTCATGACTCAGTTGGATTTCAAGGCACATTACATTCAACAAGCTTATTCTAGAGCAAACCGTGTATTTCTAAACAAAAGGCTGGTTCACAAAGGTATGAATGAGTCACCACAGATTCAACACTACACAGAGACTCTTCTTATCACCCAACACATGTTGTATTTTTTCAATGAAATCCATTCACACATCAAGCTGCCAGCCAGACGACGGCTGTGTTCAATGAATGAAACGCCAACAATTACTACTGCACCCAATAGAATATCCTGCACTCTAGAGCAGAAATGGGGCATCATGCAGGCCCTCAACCATTTTTTTTTGCTGTCTCAAAGATCATCCCAGTTTTTTTTAACTTATTGAATATTCGCAGCACCATTTGTGGCACCCAGGCACTTTGCCGGCTTATTTGCAGCTTTTTAAAAAATGTAATCCAACTTGCTTCATGTATTTAGTTATCAAACATTGCTTACTGGGTTTCAAATTATACTGGCTTAATTGTTAAGAAAGTCTTCTCTGAAAGTAATGACATTCTGGTTATGGAAGTGGTTTTCAACCACTTGGAAGGAAACCAGGAGTTGCTTAGAGTAAGTTTCTTTAAACATTTAAGCCAATTAACCTGAAGAAAGAACAATTTCAAACAAAAAGGAGGCTTGTAAACCAGCTTAAAAGAGCTTGAATAAACATTTAAAGTCTACAGATAAACCAGGAAATTAGCCAGGAGTCATATTGGCTTTGTGGGCAGGTTGGTGATAGATTGACATACATTCTTGGGTAGAATTTGTTGGGGTGATGGTACTGCTCACACCTGCTCTTGATCATGAAGTAATAACCACACAACAAGTTGAGAACTGCGGAATCAATGAACATCTGAACATAAACAGGCAATAATGAAATCAATTATCTCTGCAGCATTAAAACAAAACCTGTATATGAAGTATAATGCCTTTAGAACTTGTACTACAACAGTTCCCTGTATGACTGGCCACCGGCCAGATAGTTGAGTCTAGTGTTCAACAATGTCTGAAGAGCAGAGGTTCTCCAAAAATGACTTAACCCATAGAGCTCACAAATACAGTAATTGCTACAAGCATCACCACTAGTTCTTGCAATAGCATCCAAGATTCACTCTTTCCCCAGGTCTGTTCTCTTCCACTGGGAAAAGGAGAGTTTTGAAATGCTATATATGCCTAGCTAGACTGGACAGTTCCTGCTGACATATTGTTCCAATCTTCTGACTTTTCTGAGAGGGGGGTCTTCACCCCTCTTTTTCCTGTGGCAGTTCTATAGTTTTCTGACCCCTCTAACAAAGTTTCAATGAAAACATAGGAAAGCAATTTTGCGAAGCTGCTGATCAGCTGTAAAAATCGTCATCTTGCGAAAAAATGGTTCGCAAAGCACGGACCAAATCATCGTCCAGCGAAAATCACCCATTGGAATCACTGTTTTCCGAATCGCTATAGCAATTGCAAAACCTCATCATCATGCAGATTCGTCATTTTGCGAGGTCGTCGTCTAGCAGGGTACCAATGTAATGGTTAATGATGACACACCAGGATTATCCAATCTCTGGAACAACTTGACCAAAGGAGAATTTATTTTACTAGATCTCATGTAAAGCCAATACACAGAGATATCGGAGTGGGTTTGTGCATCACCTATGAGCCATTCAACATGTCTCAACATTGTAAATCAACCTTAAGTGGGAGGTGCTTCGACAAGAGGTGAACATATTACAGTTTCACTAGATTCGTCACCACAATCTCTCAAAATTCAGGTCAGATATGACAGTTCCCATCACATGTCCAGAACTGACTGTTCTAATATCAGCCACTATTTTGACATCTCACGTTGGCATGAATGAATATTATAGATTCCATTCATTCACATTGCATTTTATTTTTCTATCCCTACCAAATCCCCTTTCTTCAATTCTATTTCTCACCTTTCTTTGTATTTGTATTTTGTACCTTTTTTGAAAGCCACCTGCGCCTACAAAAAGCTTGGAAATACAAAAGGCAGGCTGATTACAAAACCCACAATGAAACAAGAGGGCAATGACAGTCATGCATGCCTGTATGGGAATATCTGCAGCCTTTAATGGAAGAGCCATCCATCAGACCATTCAGAAGGTTCCCCTTCAGGCAAAGGCGTGTACAATCTTTGGGCCGGATACAGAAAGAAGGCAAGTCTTCTAAAAAATAATTTTTGCAGGAGGTTGTGCAACCCACAAGTTTTGTAATTCCATGCAGGGATGGGACTTTTTGATTTTCTGGACTACAAATACGATCACTCTCCATTCTGTGAGTTCTACCTTCCGTGCAGACACCTCACAAACTTCTGGGTGTGATGTACCTGGGAGAAAGGCTTAAATCAGAAGGCTTTGAGGCCAAGCTCTCCCCAAGCATCCTTTTTAGAAAGGAATCTCCATGCTATCATCAGGACAGACGCTCTTCTTCACCCAAACTTAATTTGGGTGATGTTTGGCCTTAAAACCATCTAATTTAGCTCTTTCTCCCTGTTGTACCACCTCAGGGATTTGCAAGGTGGCTGTGGGGTAGGTAGAACTCCCAAAATGGAAAAAAATTATGATACTTATAGTTCAGAAAATCCAAGAAAAGCCATTTCTAATGGCGAATGTAACCAGTATGTCTCGCAATCCTTTCTACACGGTCTTGCATACTAATTCAAGAAGCACGCTTACATTAATTCTGTTTTGTGCAAAACTTTCCACTGGCTCTTGTACAATCTTTATAAAATGGCACCAGTATCAACATTTCCTGCACTCACAGACTCTGGGCTCCGACTAACCATTTGCAAGATATATCTATTATGCACCAATCTCCTCAAAAGTCAACTTGTTTTGATTTCACATCAAACAATCATAGGAAGAGGTTTTAATTTTTAATGTGTAAAATGACGATGGGTTGGGTTTTTGTTGTTGTTGATGTTGAATGGATTTTTGAAGATTAGAAGAATTGGAGGAGTTACTTATATCTTATTTTAATAATCTGCTGGTCCATCTGTGCTTCCTAGCTGTGTTTTTTGACTCAGAAAAAGGAACTTCCTGCTTTTACACACAGGTAGTCTGTGTAATTTATGGTGACCTTGATTTTTTAAAAAAAGTTTCATTCTTACCTGGAGGTGAGGAGTCTTAAACATTGCCCCTTGAGGTGTCTTCTTGAGTCAAGTCCCCCTAAAGCAATAAAAACAAATAATTTACCAGATATTCCTGCCCCCCCATCCCTAGCATTTCTAAGCAGCGGTTGACCAGGTAATATGGTACACTGCTTCTCCTAGGAGATGCAACATCGTGACAGTCCTAAAGAAAAACCTGGGATCCTTTAATGTTAAATATTAAAGAGGACTATTATTAGCCCAGAAATAATCCAGCTGGAAAAAAAATGTGGACTTCCTCCTTATTTTCGGTTATGTATTCAAAGTTTGCCAAAGCCTGTAGCTAAACCATAACATTTTGATTGATATTTAAAATAATCACCAGGAGATTATTCCCTGTGAAAAGCTGCGCCTAGATGCGCCTGTTACACAGAGAATTATGTCTCCAGGCAGATCTATTGTGCAGGTTTCCCCCCCCCTCGCTGAATCACACATTCCCAACACGTATAATTCATACATAATGTAAAGGGGAAAGGAGGGGTGATTCCACTGCTAATCAGGACTTGCAGACTTGCAGGGGGGTTGCGCTTCTGAGGTGAAATGAGAAGCAAAGGTCTGCAGCTGGTCATAAACTTTCAGGGCAGATGGCAGCTTCAGAGGCCACCTTTAAAGTGTCATGTGAACTCATGTCACCCACTCTTGACCCCAATAATGAATTATTACCTCCCAAACCAATTCACTGCCATTTTTTTTTTAAACTTCTCCCATGAGGAGAATATGTAGAAGGTGTTCACTACTTCTGTAAGAGTTGTCGTTGTAAACCGCAGGCCAAGGAATTAAACCCATTTTGAGTCATACCTGAGGCAGCATAAAACTGAGCAAAATATTCACAGTGGACCCTCGACTTACAGATAGCTCGACTTCCAGACTTTTTGAGTTACAGACATCTCTGGCCACAAAATTTAGGTTTGACTTGCAGCCAGAGAATCGACCTACAGACCAGAAAAAAATCAAAATGGAACAAAAACGGCCGGTTATGGGATTAATTGGTTTTCAATGCATTGTAGGTCAATGGAGACTCAACCTACAGACTTTTTGACCTGCAGCCACCGTTCCAATATGGATTAATTCCATAGGTAGAGGGTCCACTGTACTGAAAAAAAGAGGTGGCCATGTTTTGGTTGTTGTGGGTTTTTCGGGCTCTTTGGCCGTGTCCTGAAGGTTGTTCTTCCTAACGTTTTGCCGGTCTCTGTGGCCGGTATCTTCAGAGGATTGGAGTAGGAACTCTGTCCATGCTCTGTGTTCCTACTCCAGTCCTCTGAAGATGCCGGCCACAGAGACTGGCGAAGCGTTAGGAAGAACAACCTTCAGAACACAGCCGAAGAGCCCGAAAAACCCACAACAACCATCAGATCCCAGCCGTAAAAGCCTTCCCGAATACATTGACCATGTTTTCCTTTCTTCCCACCTTTCCCAGCGAAGATACTAATACAAAAAGCAATATAATGGAAATCAATTTTGAGTTCGGTTAATTGCAAATAAGGAAGGTGTTCTTGAATTCCATACATGGCCAGATGCCAAGAAAACAGCTGGATTCCTTTCCACACATTGCATGAGCGCAAAATGGCTGTCGTTGACACGGCTGGGCTTTTTTGCAGGCTTGGGCAAGGAGCATCCAGCATTTCCATGTAAGCCCCATTCATTACAATGGGACAATCTCTCAACCACATCAATGCAAGGCAGCATTTGCACAGAGTGGAGTGAGCAGAGCCCAACGCTCTGCCTCCCCTCTGACGTGCCACTGACTGACAGAGTGAGATTGGAAGGTGTAACTCTCCTCCATCTTTAGACCCAGACTGATCGCAAAGAATATTTTGGATATGATGCTCTCTGGGTGGACTTGTGCCGAAAGGGGACTCAAGTTGTGGGACTCAAGTTGGACTTAAGTTGCACCAGTGACTCGACTTGGCCTTTCCCCCCCAATGACTTGGACTCAATGGTGGTTGTAAGGTTTTTTGGGCTGTTTGCCCATATTCTGGAGACTTGGACTCAACTGGTGGCTCAGAACCAAACCATCCCTCTCTCTTTTTTTCCTGGGGAAAATAGCTTGGTTTCAATAGGGACTTGGGACTTGGTACCAAAGACATGGACTTGGGACTTGCCAACATCCCTGGCCCCTGGCTCCCTCTCAGTCTGGCTGCCTCCCAAGGTTGTTGTGAGTGATAAAGAGGAGAAGAGCCTGCACCGAACCTGCTGATGAAAATATGGAATAAAAATATGTTGCTTGAAGAACAAGAATGAGAACAAGAATTATTTTGTAAAATTCTGTGGGGGTTCATGGCAAAGAACTGGGTCCAAGAAAGGGGAAGACTGCCTCAAACCATTAAGAGTTTAACTTCACTGAAAAAATTAGGAAAAAAAAGGATTGATTTGATTTATAATAAATACAATTAATCTGCATCCTAGTCCAGTCTCCCAATTTATGTCTCAGCTGCCAAGTTGAATAAGTATACGTTCCACATACCTTCTGCATATTTAAGTAGACCACCAAACTAGCTGAATATCTGTAGCCACAGCAGGTAAACATGTTCTGGACAGGAAAGCTGCTCATTTAGTACTATAAATTATTAAGAAATACATCCAGAAGATGTCATTTTGATCCACAACAAACCCAGCAGTGGGGTATTATTAATTCATAGCTTAACTATAACTGAAATAGCAGAACAAGGAACCCAGAAAATTCTTAAAAGCCTGAGAAAAATGCCTCTGAAAACAACCATTTTAAAGCCCTTAAGCAGTAACTAATAGGAGCCCAAGGTGATGGGTACATTTTCTAACACATGTTCTAAGACTAAAACTCCCAGAAGCCTTCACCACTAGCTGTGCTGGCCAGGATTTCTGGGAGTTGTAGTCCAAGAACATATGCAGACCCAAGGTTGGGAACAGAGATGAACATGAATTGGTTGGTCCCAGTGCTGCTACTCCTCTCTTCCACCTCCTTTGGCTCCATGAGCTGATCACCAGGCTCAGTGGGGTAGCTTCCTGCACCTCCTCAACTGATCTCCCAGTCCCGGCAACAACACAGGTTTCTCTGCCCTGCGCTCTCGGCAGATCCCCCCACTCGGACAAAGGGATGGGCAGAGAGGTCTGTGGCTCTTGCTCATGACTGAGAGACTGGCCAAAGAGTTGGGAAAAGCAAGCAAGCTGGTCCTGATGAGTGGCTGATCTCACAAATGGCCACCATCCCTTTGAATAAATCTGTCTCAATGTGCAAAGAGCTCGCTGAGGAGGGCAGCAAACTGGGATGAACCCGTTCCTGACCATGTCTAGTTGGGAACCACAGTTCTAACATGAAACTCTCCAGCCCACATGGATGTCCTCTTTACCCTGAGACAGGCAGTAACTTAACACATGGGCAACCGCATATATGAACATGAAGTGCTACTTGCCCCAACTCGTAACTCTTCTCCAGGCAATTGCATGGAAGGTGAATGCAGTATCAGCACATGGCCCCAACTTAAATCTCACAAAAGGCCACCACCCCTTAGAATAAATCTGTCTCAATGTGCAAAGAGCTGCCTTCTCATTTGAAGGGTATGCTGAAGCCAATTTCTTATGGATCCAACAGGATGTCCACAGAATATGTACGGAATAATGCCACAGAATATGTACGTTGCTTCAGATCATGTGTATGAATTCAGGACACCAACCATATGTTAGAGGTCTCCACCAGCACACCCAAATTGTCTTGCTCATTCAGCGTTTCCACTGTGGTATGCCAAAAGGGAGCACTCTCCTCAACTTGTTTCCATCCTACCCATGTTGTTTTATCTGCACTGATAGAGCAAGTTAATATAAAGTGTTCAAGCCTAGTTAAATGAAGGATGACCCTCTCTCCCATGCAGAATAAGCTTGCCTGCCCACTGAGGCTATCAATTAATGTAATGTAATAATTTTCTTTGTGTTATATTTGTCGTTTTTATGTATGTATCTGGAAGCCGCCTAGAGTGGTCGAAAGACCAGACAGGTGGGATATAAATAAAATAATAATAAATAAATATCACTTGGGAACCTGGTTTTCTATCCTGCTACTATCTAATGCTTAGTAGCTTTCCTTTTTCCTTCTGCCCTCACCCATGACAGCTATGCATAAGGGGGAAGTGGGTTAAGGGTGTGGAAGATGCTGCCTTAGTGTCCCAAACAGCATCCCAGCAAGTGTACAGACTTACAAAATTCTGGAATGTGACCAATCTAATAGGCAGTGCTGTCCCTTTCCTTCACAGTGCCTGGACACAAAATGGCTGCTTGCATGGGTGGATGAGGGATAAACAGATCTAGAAAATCCAAGCAGAGTGCTACTCAGCAACTGGACTTCCAGAAGAGATCCTGGCTTTCTTTGTAGCTTCATCTGTCAATCTCCTACTTTGATGCCACCTTGTTTTGCTACAGAGAATTTAGGCACCGTGTATTTTGGTTCACATGTTGGCCCTTTCAATGGCTTAAACACCAGAAGAACAAAAAACCCAAGTAGAGACAGGATAACGGACCAAAGCATGACTGGGAGCTTGTCGGACTGTCTTGTTTCGGCTCTGCTGATATATAAATATCCTTGCTTCACCTTATCTGGGCAATTTGTAAAGATGCTAGGGCACACCCCTGTTTTCCTCTTTGTATGCCCATGAAAACCCACATCCACATCTCCTCCACACAAGCTTTGGGGCTGTGCAATTGCTCGATGGAAAATCTAATCCACTTAATGCCAGCGAGATTTAAAACAAACAAGTAAACCTTCGGCAGCAGACAGGAAACACTCCTCCAGGGATTGTTCAGTTTTTTAGTGTCTTTGGTGCCTTTTCTTAAGAATCATGAGTGATCTTTTGGCACACCGCATAGTATAGCATTTGTTCCAATAAATGCACTAATTCCTAGAATATTTACGTTTACGTCTATGTATAGACATTTGCATGTCATACATGCCTGACAGATGACAGATGCAAGGTACCTACAATGCTGTAATTTTCCCTTGAACTTAGACAGCTGGCAATGCCAGCAGATCACATTGCTTGCAAAAAACTGCTT